AAAGGAAGTATGTGAACTTAGTGTCCTTTCAAAGGTGCCAACTGTGGTTTGAGCAAAATGGCTATTTCCTTGTCTCCCAGACCTCTAAGCATGCCAGAGGCCGAGGAGCAGCTGTCTGGAGCACTTGTGGGCAATCTCAAGTCCTCTCCTTCTCCAGAGAGGTTCAAAGAGCTGGTCTACTCACCAGCTCTTTGTTCTTCACTGTGGTTGTCAGCGCCACTTTTCATGGAGCTGTCTTCAGTCCACCATTTTTTCCTCTGGAAGCTGGTTATTTACAGACTTCCTACTCTTGTGTATCCACTCAAAAAAGGCATCTATACCTATCCTGATTTTGCTATAGATTAATTCTGCTTTTTCAGGCCAAGTTATGAAACCACATAAGTCACTAAAGATGAAGCAAGAAGATCCCTCCCTATTATAATTTGGGAAGGAGCTGAAAACATTCTTATTCACTCAGACTGGTTAATTATGTTTTTGTATTTTAGTGTTTTATATTTCTTGATTTAATATGTTACTGTTTTTTATTATACATTTTATAAGACATCCATAGCAAAGGGTGGCATATGCATTTTCTGAATATAAATAAAATAAGAAAATTTTCTTTTATTGTACAGGAACTTGTCGGTAATCCTTCCAACTGGCCTTCCTGCTGGAATTTATTGTGATGTCATTTCAGGACAAAAGGAAGGCAAGGCTTGCACAGGAATTCAAATCCACGTTGCTGCTAACAGCATGGCTCATTTTCAGATTAATTACCAAGCAAAGCATCCATTCATTGCAATTCATGTTGAAGCCAAATTGTAATACTTACTGATTACCATTTCTCTTATTTAGTTCGCTTTTGTTTTCTGTGTATTATAAAGCTGATTTTTTTTTTTAAAAAAAGATTATTTATTTATTGCATCTATAGACTGATTCCATCATAGCTCATGACGGCATACAATTTAAGACAATTTAAAACAATGCAATACAAAACAATACCAAAAAAAAAAAAACTGTCTGGAATAAATTAATACAAACTTTAACAGCCCAGTCATGTATAGGGCACAAGGGATCCCACAAGGGATCCATGGCCACCCCGTTCTAACCTAAGGCCTGGGGGAAGAGCCAGGTTTTAAGGGTTGTTTAAAAATGTCACAGTGAAGTCCATGTGAATATCTGGGGGAGGTATCATTCCAAAGGGCAAGCAACAGAGAAGGCCTGCTTCCTGGTTCTCACCAGGTGGCATTGCCAGTTTGTATGGGATCGGTAGAAACTACAGAAGATAGATGGTCCCTCAAGTAATTAGGCCCTATGCCATGAAGGGCTTTATAAATGATAACCAATACCTTGAATTGCACCCTGAAGCTTACTGGTATCTGGTACAGTTCACAGGAGAGATGTTCTTTGGGCATATTGTGGCATGCCCATAACTGTCTGTACCACTGTGCACTGGCCAGCTGCAGCTTCTGAAGTGGTCTTCAAAGGTGGCCATATGTACAGTGCATTGCAATTGTCCAAATGCAAGACAACCAAAGCCTGAGGGGCTGTCTGAAGGGCCTCCCAGTCCAAGTATGGGCACAACTGGCAACTAGATGAATTATGCAAGGAAGACCTTCAAAAAAGATGCCCCCCCCCCGAAAAAAGTGCCAGTGCTGAAGGGAGAAGCATAACACTCTTCAGAATTAAAGCTGGAACGCCTCCAAACCTTGGTGGTCCAAATACTCCAAGGCACTAGTCTTGCTGGGATTGAGCTTCAGCTTGTTCCTCCCCATCCAGACCCACATAGCCATCAGTCACTGAGATAAGACCTTGACAGCATCACTTGGCCAGCCCAGGGTTGAGATTTACAACTGAGTATCAGTGTACTGATGATACCTGACTCCAAACTGATGGATGACCTCACCCAGCTGTCTCATGCAGATGCTAAAAGGGAGGGGCAACAGCATCAAGCCCTGAGGCACCCCACAAGTCAGGGGACTCTGACTTAATCTCTTCCCTCTGCCAACACTGATTGGACAAAACCACAGAGAATGGAGAACTACAACACCATGTTTCCCATGCCTAATCACTCTGTGGCCTAGAAGGATACTATGTTCTATGGTGCTGATAGTTGCTGAGAGATTGAGGAAAACCAGGATAGTTGCAGTAGCCCATCCTGGCTGCCTCACATATCATCAGCAAGCATAATCTATGCTACTTGCATGCTGTGTCCTGCTCTGAAACCTGTCTGGAAGGGATCTAGATAGTTTATTCAAAAATAAATGCCATTATAGCTCAATCTACTTGTTACTATTGTTAATGAACTCCAGATGCCTTGTCCGTACAGAAGAGCCCTGTAGGGTCATTCCAATATTGGACCCCAATTCTTGTCGGCTGGGTGTTCTTGAAAAACCCAAAAGCAAGATATGAAGAAGGTAGCTATGCCCCATTTTTTGTCTCCCAACAAGCAATTTTCATGAGCGTAACCTCTGAACAGGGTGCTTAAATTTACTTCTTGTAACTTAGAACCTTTGGACTTTAAAATAGCCTTGATTGACATTTGTGGAAACTATTTTGAAGCTTTGGAGGACTGACAAAAAATCTTAACCTCCTATCAGCTCCTGATAAGAATTTTCCTCACTCCTCCAGGGTATTAAAGCGGCTTCCACTAATCAATGGGTATCAAGGGAAAAGGATGAAAAAAAGAAAAATGATTATCTCCTATAGCTTTTTCTCTTTTCCAGATAATAGCATCTCTTGCCCAAACCAAGTTTTGTATCACAAATTTTAGAAAATCATTTTAAAAAGTGAAATACAAATCCTACATGTAGCAAAACACCTTTATATGTGGAAATCTCCAACCTCACTTTGGCTACAGGACTGATGACAGATGAGCGAGAGGAAGAGCCAAAGGCAGAGCAGATAACAAAGGCCATCTCTGCTGCTTTACTATGGGCCCAGCGCTTCATGCAAGATCTCCCCAGTGCAGAATAACTCAGGTCTACGGAACTCAAAGATCCACAGAATTCAGGAGAGGTGGTTGAGCTCAAGATAAACTATCAGCTCCCTACCTTTGTGTAGAAGGAGGCAGCTGCTTCAGTTTTTTAATGTCATGGAAAAGTAGCAAGATTTTATTCTTACTATATTCTATGTTTATTGGGAGAAGAGGAGAGCTATATGAGTTTTGTTGGCTCAGATGGCATACTTTGGTCTTGGCTGGTATTTATTTTTTGCCATTCAATTTCAAGCAGCCAAATGTATTGGACTATTCCCATGAGCTTCGTGCTAGGTTACGCTTATGTATTATTTCTTGATAATTGGGGGAGAGAGTCTTATAAAGAACAGATCTGTGCTGGAGGCCACTGCGGTTTGTTTGACTTGCAGATCTCCTTGAAGCAGATAGTACATTATCTAAGTTATTTAGCAGAAAACACAGATGTGATCAATCACACTGAATCTTATCCTGGTTTATGCATTCAAAGTTGTTTCCCAGAGAATTTAGTTCCTTATCTTCACCTGTTTCCCTTGTTTAAACCATCAAATGGTGTGACCTTTGATTAAAGGAAATTTGCTAAATGTAGCCAACTGTGTATCATGACTGATATGTACTTTGAGCTGTACCAGAAATATAAATACTGAAAACTACAACTGGGAGCAGAGAAAGATCCATTGCCCATAGCAACATGTGGATTTTAATTCTCCTTGCTGCTCTGGAGCTTTGTTGGGCTCAATATAGCCCAAATACATTGCCTGGAAGGACGTCTATTGTTCACCTCTTTGAATGGCGTTGGAACGACATTGCTCTTGAATGTGAACGTTACTTAGCGCCTAATGGATTTGGTGGAGTTCAGGTAAGCAGACTTTCATGAGAACATCTGGGAAAGATGTCTATGTCTTTGGCACAACTTCTCTAATTCCAAGAAAATAGTAATTGAATTCAGTTGAAATTGAAAATAACCAATGTTAACAATAGTGAAGGGCTGGGGAGATTTTTTTTTTTTTCATGGTATAATAAATATAAGACTAAATTACCTTTCAAGCATGCAAACTCAACTTCCAGGACTTCCCAGTCAGTATGGCAATTGCTGAGAATTCTGGGAGTTGAAGTTCTCACATCTGAAGAACAGCTTAGTTTGGGAAGGACTGGCCTAAATGGATGAACCTTCTATAAAGAGATGTGACAGTGAAAGGGTTGCATTGGCCTATTTCTAATGTAGAGCAAACTCACGTACTGGTACACTGAGTGAATCTGTATGAAGTCTGACACCTACCTGTAAGTGTTCCAATCAAATCTGGCATCAAATTTGCAATTCAATTTATTTTCAAGCATTCGACTGGTTGCTGAAACTTGGTTAAATGAAGGCAAATAAATAATGAGAGGGATACTGGTAGAAGAGTTGTTGCATCAACAGACACCCGGATTGCAGATTTACTCAACACTTATTTTCAATGTGACAACCTGAGCACCTCAACTGCCATTTAATTAACTACTTCATCAATCATAAGGAGCTTCTGGCACAGCAGAAAGAAAACAAAATCATTTTGCTATGTTCTTTAATGACTATATTATGTATAATGGACATTGCAGAAATGAAAACACTGCAGAGGATTAAAGCTGAGGAGCATTTATTGAGGATCATTTTGCTAATGGTAATGCATCATCAGATGCAGATAGTTATGTCTTTCCATCCAATGATGAACATGTTCCCACATTCATCCCAAGAAGTAGGAAAATAATGGGATTTATTATTACCCATCATGTAATACAACAACCTAGACCAGCATTTTTTACATTTTTCAAAACAATGTATCGCAAATAACTTATTTTAACGAGGAATACCTAATTTATCATGCTATCTAATATATAATCACTAGAGTTCTATATATACAGAGAGGGTTCTATACCATAAAGTGAATGTTCCTCCAGTACCTTGTTAAGAATATATATAAAATGAAAGCATGGCAACTTTTCTAGCTTGGCTGTAGCTGGCATACCAATATGCTTAATGTACAATGCATCATGCTTACTTTATTAACCCAGTACAAGTTGCTGTTTGCATTGAAAATAAGGCAGTCAGTCTCACTTCATATCCAAAATTTATTGCGACCCAGTAGAAATCAATGATTTGTCAAATGAACAAGCAAGCCTATTGCTCAGTTATGATAGAATAATATTCTGAGCATCAAATGGATTACATGTTCATGTTGTAGAGTAATAGGGGTGAATTCAGAGTGTAACTCACTCCTGCAGTGAATTCATCTTCTAGCCAGTTCTCCCAGTTTTCTCCTAATAAATGTTTTCTTTTGAAAGGATGGGGAAATTGACTGCATGAGGGACATGCTCATGAAGCCAGAAGAGATTTTACAGGCCTTTGCTTAATTGAAACAGAACTCAGAGGATTTGTAGTCACTCTAAGGTTTTGATTCAAATGTGAATCTGAAGAATTCAAGAAATCCCATGAACTTGAGCAGGAAAAAGTAAGGGAAAGCTGTGGGCTGTCTGCACACTGGGCTTTTCCAAACTGTCTTTTAAAAGGATTCCTTAAGATAACTTGGAAAAAAACCCAAGGGCTTTCAAATCAAGGTAAGGGTTGTACCATAGAAAATCTCCCTATGTTGTCTTTTTCCCATGGAATGGGAAAAATGTAAAAAAGCATTTTCAGCCTGCCACTAAATTACTGAAATGATGCTCTATCTTGTTTGATTATATTATTTAATTCACAGATCTCTCCTCCAAATGAAAACCTTGTTGTTACAACACCATGGAGACCATGGTGGGAAAGATACCAACCCATCAGCTACCAGCTATGTTCACGATCTGGAAATGAGAGTGAATTTAAAGACATGGTGATCAGATGTAACAATGTTGGAGTAAGTGATCTGAGATTCTGTTTAGGACTTTCAGTTCAAATTAACTGTGCTTCCATACCAGTGATATGCATTCTTAAATTATAGCTTGCGTTCTCTCAAACTAGTGATGGGCCCACCTCCCTTTACCCAATTCAGAATAGAACCATTTTAGTTGGATTAATATAGAAAATGGTCTTTAACATCCTAAACTCATCCAATTTAAGATTAGCCCCTTACAAATCATCACATTCCAGAAAATATCAATTCTAGAGTCTCCCTAATGCTGAGAGGCTACCTGATATCCCCTTTTCTTTGAATTGCCAAAATGAGGACAAAAGTTATTGGGTGGATTTCAGGTATTATTGCTATATGATATAGTCCTCTATGATTCCATAAGCACACAAAGAAGCATCCAAGCCTGCAAAAAGGATAGTTCATGTGATTGCCTGTGCCTAGAAAGGTCAGGAATCATGAAAATTACATTTGTCACAGTTACATTTGTCAAACACCAGACACTACAGCCCGTGTTGACTTATCAATGCTGGGAATCAGGAGAACTGTGTTTTGCATCATTCCTAGTCAGCCAGGACCTTGATCTACAAGCTGGGTCTAAATAATAAAGGTGTAGTAATAGGAGCTATTTTGGGAACACAAACCAGCCACCATCCTTCCCTGAGTTTGGAACGGAGGAAGGATCGATAAGGCACATTCAAAAAGCACAGCATGGGAAAGCAAAGCTCATCTTGACTATGAAATCATCTACTGTTTTTGTAAATTGTTTCATTGCTGCTGTTTTATGTCTGCCCTACAGAGAAAGGTGAAATGTAAATTAGGACTGGAGCAGATTCTGGAGGGATGGACTGATGATAGCCCTCACAAACACAACGGGTTTTATCTGATACTCTTTGGCTGTGATACTGCCAGTGCACAAAGCTCAGAACTGTACTTTGGCAAATCAGTCTGGGGAAGTATTTCATCACTGGGAATGGGGCACCTGCCAGGAATGTGATTTCCATGCCTTTAACTGAGCCCGGTGCACAGATGGTATCATTAACAGGGCAGTTGGGTAGCTTTCAAAGGTAGTAATGGAAGCTCAAGGGAGAAAGTGTTTCTAAGGTATGTTGAATATGAGCAGTTAAAAACATTGCAGCATCTTGAATTGTGCCGGTAAGAGAGTGGGAATATGCAATTATAATACCTTGCAATTGCATAGCAACACACTCCAAGTATTCACACATATAGTCTTTACTCAATGATCTTTACGATCAATTAGCTATTAATATCCCCCTGTTGTGGAAGGCAGACTGCCTTGAGAAAATGATTATCCAGTTAAGGCCAAATTGTGGATGTATGGATGGATTCATGTTTGATTTGGAGGCTTCCTGATCTATAGCTTATCAGTATTCTTACCTATTCTTCTGAAGCTACACTTCTAATTCCATTGGGACAGAAAGTAACATTGGTCTTTCACAAGCCACAGAATATCTGCCTTGTCCATGATTAAAGAAAAAGATGAATGTCATGTGCATATGACATTGCCACAGAACAGGTTATGATGTCACAGGGTGATGTCATCATGACACCATTGTGGAACAGGCATGGATTATTTATTTCTTTATTTCTTTATTTCTTTATTATTAAACTTGTATGCCGCTCATCTCTCAACAGGTGACTCTGGCCAGCTCACAATAACAAAAAAGGAAAAAAACACCAATCCCTCCAACAATGGCTAAAAACCATAAATAATTAAAATAGAAACATGCATTAAAAATGTCCTAAACCCCCCCCTATAAATTTTAGCCCTAAACCTTCAAGATGCTGGGGGGGGCCAAACCCATCACCCCACCAGCCATCTCCACAGATGCAAGCCCCCATCTGGCCCCCAGGCCTTCTGGCAGAGCCAGGATTTAACCCCGTTGCTGAAGGCCATGAGGGAGGGGGCACACC